AAATTATTTTTAAGCTGCATTCACCCGGGTAACCCTCTGAAGGCAGCATACAAAATCAGACCAATAACACAAAACTGCAAATAGCATGCAAAGCAATAAAATTCAGTGCCATCCACGGAGACTAGGAGCTCAGGGCTTCTAACCAGTGAAAGCTAGTCGGTCCTCAGACTTATTCTGGAGACCTCCCCCCCGCCCCCCCAAAAAAGCAGGTTAATGAACCCCCGATCAAGACTGATTCTACAGGCCCAGGCCGCCTGGTGTGGGGCTAATGAGTGAGGCCAAGGACAGAGTGGGTGGGGGCCAAGCCACAACACAAAAGGTGTAAGGCCTGCAGATGGATATTATAGCACAGATACAAATACAGCTGTGTAACTGGATAGCTTCGTAGTTTAGGTATATCGACCGGCTGCGGAGCCAGAGGTTGGGAGTTCGATTCCCGCCAGTGCCTCCCTCCCTGGCAGGGGCTAGACTCCGTGATCCAGAGGGTCCCTTCCAGCTCTGCCGTTCTAAGATTATTACAGATAATATAGACAGATAGAAATAAACACGGCTGCATACAGATACCTGCACATTTTGATTGACCACCCCTACCTGTGATTTGTCATTGTAGCGTTTCGGTTTGTGTACGTGTGATTGAACAGAACGGCAGCGAGGCAGCAATAAATTTTACCAAGACAGTTTAGTGGCAGGTTGCTGTGATGAGCATTAATCTCCCCAAACCTGTCCATGCAATGAATAATTAAAACTTGGATTCCACACCTTCTGGAGCTTGCGGAGGTGGTGGTGTCCTTCTCTCTCACCTACCCAAGGGCAAAACGAAGCAGCCGGCATGGATGGCCTGCTCGGTGTTCAGAAAAGATTCAGATCACATCAAATTCTCCCTTTCATTCCACCATTACTACACACAGAGGGGCAATCTACTCATTCTAGAAGCCCAGTATCTGTGATTTCTTTTGTTCTGAAAAAAAATTTTTTAAAGGAACTTTGAAATGTTAGGACGAAAACTTTCAAAGGAATTGAGGAGTGTGTTCCCTATCCCATAACTTTAAAAAGTAAAACTTTAAACATTATTTCATTTCATGGTATATGGTGCCAGAGGGAATGTTCCTCATTCGTAGAGTTAAGGGAAGGTTAATTTCAAAATCTCCTGCCTGGAAATATGAGAGGTGCCTATTAAATTTCAGTTTTAAATGGGGAAGAACAATGGGTTGGATCCAGGCTTCGTCATACTTAGAGTAGATGCATTTAATCTGTGGCTTGGATCCAAGTGTATTCATACTTCGATTACATTAGTCTGTGTAATCATGACTAGCAGAAGTTCTACTGATTATAATGAACCACCGGATCAATGGGAATTCGGGTTGATTCACCGTCCAGCAGCTGATTGAATGGTCTTACTCTTGTCTGGACCAGTAATTGCACGTAGACCTGTAGGTCTATTCTAAATATAACCAGAATTGGCTCTAATTTGTTTTTTCAAATTCCATCCTAAAATGCAATGTTGACGACAGGCAATCCTGATAGTTTTTTTTTTTGTAAGAAATTACATATTTCTTTAAGGTGAAATTTTGTGGAAAGCTCTCCTTTGCAAAATCCATGAAAGATGCTCAAACAGCCCCCAGCTAATCCCAGTCTCTGCCACGATTTATTTATTTATTTTAATTGTAATTGCATCCTGTTATTTTCTCCCCATGGAGACAGAACATTTAAGAAAGTTTACAGAATTTATAAACAGAGTACAGATTTATTTTAAAAAATAAAATACCAGTCCTATAATCGCAACAGGCGCTTACAGTCTCCATATGCAAACCAGCACTATTCCACCATCATGGGGCCACCACCAAAACAGCCCTGTACTGTACGTTGTTCTTGCCAGTCTTGTTGGGTGGCGTAGGAAGAGATCCTCCCTGGCCAGTTCTGAGGGCCAGGCATGTTCTAGATGCAGTGGGCTTTTCAGATGACATGTTCCCTGGCTGTGTTAGGTTTTAAACTTGGCAACCAGCATTTTGTGTTGAGTCTAGCAACGCGCTGGCTAATGGTATCACCAACAAAGAGTTAAAAATGCTAGCAACTGATGTTCACGCCAAGTGGAAGGCTGCATTATATTCCCCCCCATTGCTGTGTTAGTACTTCTGTGATAACTGTACATACAGTACTTTAGAAACTGTGGCTCGGATCCTGCTCGTGTTTGTTGCCTTTGTCCCATTTAAACGAACCATTGAATTGAAGAGGGAGACCATCTTGTCCCATTGGTTTCAGCAGGATGCCAGCTTGAGTAACTTCTATTTTGATTCAAGCTGGTGTGGTCTTCTCTGAGAAAGCCACAAGCGATGAGATTAATTCAGAGAAATTTTGCCATATATGAAACAATGTTCCCAGCCTGCAGAACACTCTGGGGCCGCAGGAGAACAAACAAAGCTCCCCATGATTAAATCTGATTTATTCATGCCACCAAATGTGAGGGAGAAGGGAGAAGCTGTTCTATAATTACATGTGCACCAACTGCCAAGAAAAACGAGGTTGTGCTGTTTCGTTTAAGACACACTGTTGACTTATTTGAAACAGCACGGCCGAGATTGTAGGTCTGAAGAACGATGACTTCGGAGTGAACCTCACAGAACGGCATCTTTTTCCCTAGGCTTGCGCTCTCTCTCTCTCTCTCTCTCTCTCTCTCTCTCTCTCTCTCTCCTTGTTCTCCCACTGAATAGCTGTGATTTAGCTGTGGAGGAAGTACAGATGTTGTGTCCCCCCCAGTTGCATTTTTGGTATGCAGTTCCTACAAACTAAATTAAACGTTGCAGATAGTGAGCAGAGCATCCTGCCAGCACTTTCGTTCCCTTCACGTTCTCCCCTCTTCCCGCAAGGAAATTGATGTGTATTCCTGATATGCACTTGGGAGTGTGTTTGTATATGTTTTTAAAATATACATGTTCAGTCGTGAACATTAACCTTCACATAACCCGACATGTAGGAGGGTGAACCGGCTCCGATGGCTCCCAGTTGAGAGAAATTGGAAAGGTACGGGTCGCATCAGGCATCCTAGTTAGAATATACTTCCACAGTTTATATGCTGTCTCTCAAGTTCTGAATAAAATGCATATTTGCGTGGATATTTTGAACATTGTGTGTTGAGTGTCTAACTCCTTGTGGTGGAGTGCTCCCTGTCCTTGCCCTTCAGACTTGGCTGCCATAAGATGTATATCAACGAATCCATCCGTCCACGGATTGCAGAAGGAGCTGTGTTTTGCCTAAGGATTCCCTCCTCCTCTCATTTTGCAGGGGGTAAGGGGTTTTGGAGCTGGCTGGATAGCGCAGTGGGTCAGGTCTCTGGCTGTTGTGCCCAAGGTCGGGAGCTCAATTCCTCCTATGAGTACAGCCACCCTGTGTGGTGTTGGGCAAACTGCACGTTGGTCCCAGGACACTCTCAGAAGAAAGGAAGGGACAACCACTTCTGAGTGTCTTCTAGCTGGAAAACCCTGGAAAGGCTCGCCGTAACTCAGAATTGGCTCAGTGTTACACAGTTATGATTAAGGAACTTTGAGCTGCATAGATCTGTACAAGACAGATGTAAAACACAAATCATGTTTCAGACAATGTCAAATTCCAGGTTTCCTGGCCTTGTTCCTTTAAATGCCAGGGTATAACCTAGGGCCCTCCCCACTCGCCCCTTTGCCGGTGGGTGGTGGACACTTCAAGCCACCCAGTGGGTTTCTGTGCAGCAGAGGTCGTACTGCTGGTGGTGCGCACATGGGAGGGTTGCCTTGTCTTTCTCCCACTACCCTACTGGGGCTGGGAAGGATGGCTAGCAGCTGGGCACCCGGGCACAAATGATGGGTGGGTGGGTGCAGTGCCCAGGATATTCAGGGATCCCGGCTTGATTTCAGGACCTTCCTGCTTATTCTGGCGGGACAGAGGGAAGCTGCCTGTCCCCCCCGGTCCCTTCCTGATGCTGCATATTACATGCACTTGACTATATCATAAGGCTGCAAACCAGGGATTGGGAACCAGTAGCCCTTCAAGCAGTTGTCGGTTTACAGATCCCACCATCTCTGGGCATGAGCCATGCTAGCTGAGGCTGATGGGAGTTGGAATCCTGTGGCACCTGGCAAGCCATAGCTTTCTGTGCTGTAAAGAATGATGTGTTAATTGATATCGTGGCATTGAGATTAGATGGTTGGATATCAAATTATATCTTCTAAGAGTTTGGAGAGGGGGATGTAAATCTAAAGAAAACCTTGAAATTTAAGAAAACTGAACAGCTTGCCAATTCTGTCTTTCTCTTTTCTTTTAAGTTGAAATGCTTCATTATCCCTGAACTATTTAAAATAAACTGTTTCTATATCTAGCTGTAACGTGTTTAAAAAGGGGGATGTATTTATATATCTAGTCCCGCATCGTTGATTGCACCGCGATCGATGTTCCATCTGCAGGCTTTGTTGTAAGAATTTATTGGAATTCAGGGATGATGAATAAGATCTGCAAAGGAAGCCTTTTCCCCACAGCTGAGCTTAGAGAGTGGTCGTTGTCCCAAAGTTACTGAGCAAAACTCATCCTTAACTCTTTCTAAGACTGAGGGTTGCAACTGCAACAGAAAGTCGAATTGGAGCAATTCAGCTTTGCTATGATTTGATTCAATGCCCATATTCTTTCTGAAACTGCGGTCAATGCTCACAAAGGGGCTGCAGGTTGATTTGGGAGTTCACCCTGCATAGTGGATGAGATTTGCATTCCAGCCCAATCCCCCTTTCCTTTCTTCCTTCTTTCCTTCCCCTGGTCCCACCCATGCCAATCTAACAGGGAACTGACAGAGGAATGAATACAGAAAATAATGATAATGATGATGCAGCGATAAAATGATCAGGTGAACTAACACTAATCTCATAAATCTTTATACATAAATGCACTGTATGTACTGTGTCTAGATTGCTGCTATAGATTCACATAGATGGGATTTTATGAACTCACTAATTTCTGTGTTTTGTTTCCTTCCTTCCCTCTAGTTTCATTATTCAGCATCTAATTATCTGAGGAAGGTATGTGCTGGTCCGTCTTCTGAAGCTCTAACTGTAAGCACTCTGGGAAACATTCTTGGTGTTTGTATGTTTTTCAGAATCGCATAACTGAACACTAGTTTCAGAAATATGGTTTAACAATAAGAATTCCACTGGGGGGCTGTGAATGGTCAATGTTATGGAAAAAGGATGTAGCAGGTGACCTTTGGACTTCATATGAGTGTATCAAGAGGTGCTAAACTCAAGGAGTTGTAGCTGCACCTAAACGAATACGTACAAAAATAATTTAGAACTAATCAAACACACTTCCATCCCAATATTATCTACTGCAAAGGTCAGGAACCTTTTTCAACTTTAAGGCTGAATCCAGTTTCAGAGACCTTCCCAAGCAGGGAGGAGGGTTCCATTACTGGATGGAGCCAAAGGGGGGGAAAGTGTGTCTAGAAAATTCAGGGTATTTTGCATCACTTAAGATTACCCATCACTGGTGCCTGAATTAATTTAATCTAGGATACCAAAGGTTGAACATCTGGCACCCCCAAAAAAACTTGTAGTAACGCTAAGCTACAACATGATAACTATATTCCAAGGATGGTCTGTTTCTGTTGTTAGTGGCCTTGGCTGCCATATGGGTATATAAATCAGACAGACAGACAGACAGACAGACAGACAGACAGACAGACAGACAGACCAATTGATAGATCGATAGATAGATATTATGAACTCTTTATTGGGTAAACATATTCCCACCTGATAGCTTGTTCCAACAGCTTTTGTGATGCTTGGTTATGCAGACGGCGCCTGTCAAGAGCTTCGGTTGATAATGTAACATTTCTGGTATTATAACTGTTAGGGGTTTTTTTATTAGAAAAAAAGTCAAATCCACAGAGTGAAAGAGATTGAAAATAAACAAGCAGCAACCAGCTTTCAACAGCAAGTAGGGATGTGAGAGAAATAGATGTGGTTCATATCTATATATTATTGTTTACATTTATATCTGTCTTTGTGCTCAAAGCTGACACTCAGTGGCACCTCATTTAAACTGACATAATTCAGATTTCTTGAACCAATGTGTGAAGCAAAATGCAATGAGAGTAGGACCTCAAGTCCCCCAGCATATACCAGAAACCGCATATAATAACAAACCTAGTAAAGAGAGCAAGAAGAAGGATAAGGGTAAGAGGAGAGGTAAGTGCAGAGATACAGGGTTCCTGCTGGATGCTTCAGCCTTCACGCATTTCCAGATTTGGGGGCTGAATTCTCAAATAAAAAAAAGCATAAGAGAATGCAGATATCAGTGGAGATTGGAGATAAGACATGCATTTAACACAGAAGATAGTACCCAAACGCACATGAATTAGGCAAATCAGCTGGAAAAAAATATGCATGTGAGGCAACTGGGAAAATGTTTATATTACGAGTAAATATGTGGCAGAAAATGTGAGTAGTTAGATAAACAAATGTGAAAATGCATATAAATGTTTCATGTTGACTGTTTGTTTTAATGACACAACCATTTAAAATGGAAGGAAATGAAGTTAAGATCCAAAAATTAAGAACATGAGGGAAATTCAAATTGTCAGACTCATCTAGTTCCTACTTGTAGGTTGGAGGGTTTTTCATTCATTCATTCATTCATTCATTCATTCATTCATTCATTCATTCATTCGTTTCATTTCGTTTCATTTCATTTCATTTCGTTTCGTTTTTATACCACCTATCTAGAAGATTGCTAGTCTGGGCAGTGTGTAACAAAAGCAGTAGTTTTGACAGCTGTTGTTACAGGAATTAATTTTGGGGACCCCTGTTTGGGAGACTCTATACTGGGAATGGAAAATACCATTAAGTTAAATACTGTACATTTCCTCAAGAACAGCATTGGCCATTGGCCTAGAGGGAAAGAGGTGAAGTGCACAGAAGTGACTTCTTGTTGGTTGTGTTTTGAGACTGAAAGATCCAAGGATAAAAAGCAGGAAGTAGGTGATTCAGGGCTTGGATCTTAGGAACAGAACAAGGAAAAAGCTGAGCATTCTTTGGACTCCATCAGAAGACCAAGCATGGGTGATACCTTTGTTAGATTAACAAATTTTATGTACAGAGGCTAGCTTTCCAGTCTGCATTACGGAGGTGGAGATGGTGCCAAAACTCCATAAAAGTTTGAACATCCCTGGCCAGGTGTGTGGGCCTGGTTCCTTCCTTAAAGGAAGCTTCAGAATGGGAGCTGCAGAAGTCGCTCAGAGACGGTCAGCTTCAGATTTCTGGCCATGTGGATTAGAATGCCCCAAACTTGTTAGACAAAGAGACAGCACTTTGTCGTTTAGAAGAAGGGAAGCGCCTTGGGGAAAACCCATTCTTGAGGTTGGCTTGCTTGCTTGCTTACTTAAAGGAAAGGAAACCAGACTGCCTTCATGTGTCCGTGTAATATAATAATTTAATTATGGCTTTTGGTGCACTTTTGACAGTCCCTCTGTAGGGCTGCCTAATTAACCAAGTTGTTCAGCTTTCAAATCATATCAATCACAGCCTTGCTGGAAAAGCCCGGGCCTCATTTTTGAAGATCAGGGCATGAAAGGAGGATGTTTGGCCTCCATAGTAGCCTAGCTTGAGAGGGTCACCTAAAAGGGGCACCACCTGGTTTGCAAACTTGTTATTAAAATCTCAGGTGACACAAAGATGACGCCGGCTTTGGGAAAGGCTTAAAGCATTTGCTTCAATATGTATTTAGTGAAACAAGAGATCCCGTTTGCTTCTAAGCGCCTTCCAAGGGCTCATACCCAAGGCAGACACAGACTGAACCTTTGGGGACTCTTTTTCTAACACAACATAAAACTCTCTTTAAAAAGAACACTACAGATCACTAAGCGTACTGTAGGAGAATGGTACTTTCGGCATATATTGTCTTAGATGCTATCAATGCATTCTGCTGTAACGAAGCAATTCATCATAAGTGCCAGCTGACACTCTTGAACAGGAAAGGTTCTTATTTGCTGGTATCCGCCCCTGATAAAGGTTTTTTTTTCCTATAACATACGGGTGGAGGAAGGGAACACTGGTGGATTCTGGACCCCCAACATCTCCCCCTGCTCCCCCATCACCAGACATTGGTTTGGCTTCCTTGCCGTGTTGATAAAGGGGACCTGAAAGTCAAGGAAGAGCGACTTGCTCTCCAAGTACTTCCAATCCCTCAGTCAGAGAGAGCGCCTGTGGTTGAAGGAAGGGTGCCCCTTGCCCTTCATGAGTGAAACCGTGGCTTTCTTCCGGTTGGTCTCCAGTGGTGTTGGGTTTTGTGCTGCTTATTCTGCAATGATGCAAGGTGTGCAGAGGTAAGAACAGAGTTTAGACACGCAGATGGCTGGTTGGGTTGTCAGTGAGGACTGGCGTTTGCTCTGCCTGTTGCTGCATTAACTTCTCCCCCAAGCCTGAAGGTTTCCCTTGAGGAAATGTCGCTTTTTCCATCTGAAAAGCTCTTTCCTTCCCTGTCATATGGCCTATGACTGGCATGGCTCAACTCAAGTCCTACAATCCTCTGTTATTCTCTGTTAAACAGCTTGTGGGCATATGATGGGTGTTGGTTTAAGCTTTGAAATATTCAGGTTTCAAGGACATGTAGAGACTCCCTCTCTGTTTTTAGGTGGGTTATGAAAATCCACACATTTAAAAAGGACTATTAGCAAATGCTTGGCACTATTCCTTTCATATAGTTTCAGGATGCTTAGAGTGCTGAGGAAGTAAGATGCATGCATCTTGTTCCTAGTCTACATAGGGCAGACACACATACCTGCATGAACACTGACATGTCCATGGTGCACGCTGCCTGCTATTTCACACGCTACAGCTTATGACGCATGCTCCAAACTGTTGACTAGAGGACAAGTGTTACCATCTGTTTCATTGTATGTTTCCAGTTCCTCTTCTGAGTTTTGATCATCACCTCCTCCACTGCATATGTAGTTCCTTGGGATGGGGTTTCACTCCAGCTCTCACTCTCTACTTCCTTTTGGCTGACCTGCTCTGACATCACAGAAAACAGATAAGCATCTTGTCTATGGACATACCTGTCTGTTAAACCATTCGTGAAAGAGATCCAGTCTCATCCAACGTATGGTGACTCTGATAAGGCTATCCAAGCTATGCGACATATTTAAAGAGTGGTTTTACCATTGCTTCCTCGGTCAATGTCCATGTCCAAGTGAGGATGGGATCCAGGTCTCTTGAGTTCTACTCTGTCACTTCATCCACTACTTCTCATACTTTAGGGAAGCTTAAAACTTTTCCAGATTAAAATGGCCTGCGCTTCCCTGTTGCCCTCCGTGTTCTTTCCGTCAGATAATGGAAAATAAATTCTCCCTTGCAAGCATTCAGCAAACTCTGGATCCCAGTTATTTACAGACTAGATGGGTTTGTTTTCCATAGAAGCTTCATATGGGTAGTGCACATTTTCCTGTAGGACTTTAAAAAAAATAATTACAGTAATTCAGATTATGTTCACATTCAATGTGTGTTTTGGAAATAAGAAGCTCTTTCTTCTTTAAACAATGTAATAACAAAAATGTGAAAATTGGGATAGCTGCTGGTGTGGCAGTGTAGCTTGGGACTCCTTTAGGTACAAAAAATGTTTCAAAAAATACCTTTCAGTTCCTCAGTAGTGTGTTTATCTTGTAAAGCCATGTAGCAGCCGAGCTTTGTGGATTAATGCCTTTGAATCAAGAAAGTTGCTTCCGATTAGAAATTCTTTCAGCTGCTGCCATTTTCCTTCCTTCCTTCTTCTATACAATAACAAACATGATTAGCTCCAATATGCCACGCTTGCCTTAACCTCCTTGTAATTGGGAGACTCTGCTGTACATAATCCTAGAGTCCATTTTAGGCTGTAGATTGACAGGTAATTACAGCACCAGCAGTCTCATATCTGGTAAATACTGTCGTCACCATCGATCCAATTAACCAGGGTAACAAACTCCATGGAACTCGAGTCATCCGAGTTGGTTGCCAAATTCAGACTCATGTTTTTGGGAGGCCGT